TTTACACCTCTACTGACTGATGAAGTGCAGCCCTGCCTGATGATGAAAGGGTTTGTATCTACTGGGATGAAGAGGCTTCAGTTCATTTAGCACAAAACTGTTTGCATTCGCTCACGATGAAGGGGTCATCTTGCATTCGTAAACTTTGTCCAGTGAAGACGCGGGTTAGAATTGGTCTTCAGTAGCCCCTTGTCGTAAGAGGGGTGTACGGGATCGGTGACTTGACTGATGCATGTTATAGCAACCCAATGTTTCTAATGCTCATGACATCAATCACTAGAATGTCTGGTCGGAATCCGATTAGCTACAGTCATCATGAAGCCAGGGATTACCTGAAGTCGATACTGCAATGTGACACTTTTACCTTCCTCTTAAGACCGCCTCCGTGGTGTAGTGGTTAGAGCGTCCGCCCGGAGAGCGGAAGGTCGCGAGTTCGATCCCCGACCGCGTTATACCAAAAGACGTTAAAATATGGTATTTGTTGGTCCCGGCCTGGCGCTCGGCATTAATGGGTACAACAAGGACTGGTCGGCTCGGACTCAGAATAATGTGTCTGAGTAGGGTATTCATGCTTCACTGCAGCGTGGGCTAGCACTATAAAACCAGCTTCAGTCTGGGCTAGTACAATCAGCCGCACATACACATACACACGCATGCACGTCGTCATATGAGCGAAATATTCTCAAGCACGACGTTAAACCCAATTTCACCTCAACTCACCTCACCTTCCTCTTAAGATAAAAAAGTTGGATTCAGTGGTCCTGAAATGTTTTATTCAATGACCATAAACAGATCTAGAGTAGCATGAAACCGTTGCGAAAAGTGTACCTTTATAACCAAAAGTATATTGGATTCAGTGATCGTAAAATCATTTGTATTCAAATTGACAACAAAAGGGTTAATTGTTCTAGCGAAGATCAACGTTAATGACAGTATTCCCTACAATGAAATGCAAAGCTGTTCTTTAAAGTTAGAGAATACGCCTTTACACCTTTTTTGAAACTATGTCAGCAATATCAAGGCCTGGAGCAGTGGAAATGAACGCCCGGATCTTCCGGGTGACGATTGCACGTTTTAACTAACTACATTACTGCTCTATCGGCATGGTACATGGTAACGCTGTCACTGTCTGTCTGTCTGTCTGTCTGTCTGTACTCTACCGGCACCTTATTGGGGCTGTTGGTCATGACTATATCCTATTACCAGCAGAATCTATTTGTGAACTCTTTTAAAAAAGGTTCTGAAAATTATTTCAAAGCTTTCGTAAGGTTTACTTCTGTCTGACATTTGACGTTGAAATGTTGGTGGCAGCCATTCCAGGTAATGGAAGCTGTACAGGAGCACCACGCGCTGCATTGGCTGTGGTTGACACAAGCATTCTGGTTTAAAATGCGTTCGATATGCGTCCTTTAAATTATTCAATCAATTAGATTAACGCCAAGCCTCCATTGTTTTTAAATCGGTAAACTGCACGAATGTGACAGCTTTGTTTTGGTCTTTTTGTCGCTGGATTATGGGAAGAAATACAAGAAAACTGCAACGACCTTATGACACAGCATTATGAGACACGTAACCTTTCGTCGAACATACTGAAAAACTAATACTTCAGTTCATTTGTGTGTTCGTTAACGACATGCTAGTTCTGTTATTGATAGAAAATGAGATCTTAAAAGATTTACGTTGCAAATTGAACTGTGAAGATGTACTACACACACACACACGCACGCACGCACGCACGCACTCTCTCGCGCACACACACACAAAAACTAAAACTAAACTATCTCTTACAACTTAAAATGTTAGTTTTTGAAGGTCACAGTAGAGATACGGCCAGTACAAGTCTGTAGGGTTTCGGGGTAGCCTTGTGACTTCAAAGGTGTCGGTTCGACTCCTTGTATGGTTATTATGTTTGGAACCCTGCTTTTGGCATCCTTCAGCCTCATATTGCTGAAAAATAGCTAAGAGCGGCGTACTCACTCATTCACAATTTTAAAGTGAGTGACTGAGTGTTAGTTGTACGCTGCACTCAGCAATATTCCAGCTATATGGCGGCGGTCTGTAAATAATCGAGTCTGGAACAGACAATCCAGTGATCAACAGCATGAGCATCGATCTGCGCAAATGGGAACCGATGACATGTGTCAACCAAGTCAGCGAGCCTGACCACCCGATCCCGTTAGTCGCCTCGTACGACAAGCATGGGTTACTGAAGGTTCATTCTTACCCGGACCTTCACGGGTAATTTTGAAGTGAAGCCAAACTAGGTAGGTGGGCGTGGGGGTGGGGGTGGGGTTAGGGGTTGTGGGAGCCTTACACATCCCCACACATCAGCAATCACGTGGTAATCAATACATGAAGCTCTACGGGCATTGTCAGCAGCCGATCACTGACTACTCTTGTACAAACCAACATGATACATCACCGACGGATGTGTTTGACGTGTGTCTCCCCGGGCCAGCGAGTCTGTGTCTATTGGCAACGTTACAGGACACTGTCAAGCTTATCTCAACGCTCAGGATTGTCCGTCGATATCAAAGTTTGTTGTTATCTCAACGCTCAGTAAATTGTCCGTCGGTATCGTTAAGACTTCAGCAGTTTGATATTGTCCACTGATTGCTTGTGTTGACGTGGCATTCAGCAATATTCCACCCATATGACGGTGGTCGGCAATTAATGGAGTCTTGACCGGAAAATCCAGTGATTGACATCATGAGCATCGATCTACGCATTTTGGAAACGATGACATGCATCAAACACGTCAGCGTGCCTAACCATCCGAACCCGTTAGTCGCTTCTCCCGACAAGCATGGGTTGAAGACCAATTTTAAACCGAATCTTCCCGGGTGACAAGCAGGGGTAAAAATGGTTGAAAACCAATCCTGACCTAAATCGCACGTGCATTCATGTCATTTGACTGGTAAAGAGATCACTTCTATTTGCTTCTGCGTTTTCTGAGTTTAAAACTTTCTTGAATTTACATAGCGTGCACCGGCAGCGCCTTTCATGCTCAACCCCAATAAACACAAAAATGTTAAAGTTAATTCTTAATGGACAAAGTGGATAATAAAACGTCCATGGCCCATATATCGTCGATCTGTTAGAAAATATGGGATAAATATAGACTTTGCGTTTTCATGTCAAGTAACACGATATTATGTCTGCTCATAAACTGAAAAAAATGACTCCCGAATATATGAATTTCTAAAGGTTATTCGATAAAATTTAAATACTATTGGAGCAAAAAGTATAAAAAGAATAATAATAATAATTCTGTACTTGAGTTTACCGAATTGATTGGCATTGCTATAATGATACTCGTGTTTATCCCTTGCACAGGATCAATAACAAAAGTCGACATTGGATCTATGGCTCGTGCTCGGGACGCCCGTGGCCTACATTTAATATCTAACAGGCTGATACACCATTTATATATTAGACGTCGATATTTTCACCAGATTACCTCCCTTTCCAGACAGATTCTATGCCAAATTTAACGTATATCTGGAATTGGAGTTTTTGGATCAAGGCGGTTTGGAATGTATAGCATAAAACTTACATAATCCGGTATCTTTTTTATAGATTTAACTGTAAATGTAGATGCCATTGACTCGTGACCTTGACCTTCCCCAATATACTCTCACAACATTTACCGCTAGGGTTGTAAAGGCAATCAATTGGACCCCACGCTAAACGATCGTTCAACCAATATAGACTTATATAACCGGAAAGGTTGTATATCGTTTTGCGTTTAGTCTGATTGGCTTGATACGGCTTGACATAATATCTCAATAAATGCCAGCAGTATGGCGGGAAGTGAAATCAAGGCTGAGATATTTGTGGCCCTATTCACCTTCCATACTAGGATACACTCGTTGATGACCGAGAATCCTTGATTATGAAATTGAGCGAGATATAAGCTGTTTGTACGATTGTTCTGAACCGGGGAAGCGAGACGATGTATGGGAGGCCAGCAGGGCAATACCGTGGACAGCGTGGTATAAACTATATACTTTAATAAACTATATCTGTCTGTCTGTGTGAGCAGGTTACATTCAAAGGAGAATGAAGACGAAACGGCATCCACAGAAAACGGGACAAATTGTCTCAAATTGCAGAATGAGGAACGGAAAAGGCAACTGAATAGTAATAATGTCAAAAGTATGTTCTGTATGTATACTATTATAACCACTGACCTTGTATATAGACATTTATAATGCATACATAATCAGGACTTCAAATGAGTTCTATTCTCTCAAGCCATGGTTACAAAGTTTGTTGGTTAGCTGGTTGGTTGGTGTGTTGTTTTACGCCGCACTCAGCAGTATTCCAGCTAAATGGCGGCGTCTGTAAATAATTAGTGATCAACGGCACGAGCATCCATCTACGTTATTGTGATACGATGACATGTGTGTAAACCAAGTCAGCGAGCCTGACCACAGTTGGTCAAGGTAAAACATGCGGTAATGAATTCTTAGTGCTTCAATATGTTACACACAATTCCCGATAAAACTGACTTAATAGAAATATCTTCAAGCACAGCCTACCTCCCCACACCTAAAAAGTCTAAAAATAGAGATACACGATTAATTAAAAAAACAAAGAAATGGAATAGATTATTGACAATGTATCATTAAAAAGCTAAATTGATAAGCAAATAATTATACTTTGGATAAAACTACAGAAAACGAACTTTTTCACCTCGGGAAATCAAACATTACTAATCCAAATATCAACACTACGGGAGATTATTATCCCAACCTACCCTAAGATGGAAGAGTGCGGAAAAAATGACATCTCAATTATAGATTCAAATTATGAACAAATATCAAACTTCACAGTCGGAGAAGTGGGTACACATCAACCTGGACAAACCGGGAAATACATCCACTTAAGATTACTCGATTTCCCGTCAAGGCCACTAGGTGAAGATCATTTCAAAGACCGCATAACATCTAAGTGAACTCGGAACAAATTACATAGGGAAGTTTGTCAGTACTCACCGCCTCGAGCCACACGTTCGTTGTCAACACTTGGTTTTTCTCGTCCTGGAAAGGAAATTAAAGATATTATCACAGTAATAAGGCAATTGATGTCACCGAGCAATAGCCTAAGATCGAAACATTTTAAGTTTTCAGATAAAACATGGGTTTCAGGGAAGATTTATAGAAATCATATTTGTTCATGTCGATTGCCAAGAAAACCGATAAAAAATTTGGCAAAATTTCAGTCTTCGACTTACTATTAACTGCAACTAGCTAGGCAGCTCGTAAATTACATAAATGCATTACGCCAATGACGAAACCATAGACAATGTGAAGTGTAAGGCATTCTTTATTTATCAACTGAGAAACATATGAAAAGTGTGCAGTCTTATATTAAGAGTATACAAGTCCCAGAGTGCATATAGCCCCCAATCTTTCAGCTGTAATGGCCAAATAATATAATGATAGAACAAACCCTAGACTCAGTTGTCTCCCTTGGGTCATGGTCGTACGTTATATGGTGACATAACGCATCAATCTGCCGACCATTACATCCCCGGGAATTGGGTTGGAATCGGGTCTCTGCTGTAACTTGATTAAGAATGATGTATTGTACGCAGATAGCGCATCTTGTGCAGTTTACGCATCTGGTAGGGTATATATAAGCAGTCACAGATACTGGGGGAATCACTGACAGGTTGAGTCAGAAGTAGGAGGACATATACTACTTATATATTACAAGGTTTTAAAGACAGATCATACCATGTTGCACGGTTGCTGGGATAGCGAATATTTGGTATTAGCCTTGTGGTTAAAGCGTTCGCTCGTCACACCGAAGACCCAGGTTCGATTCCCCAAAAGGGTACAATGTGTGAAGCCCATTTCTGGTGTCTCCCGCCGTGGTATTCCTGGAATATTGCTAAAAGCGCGAAAACCCAACTCACTGACTCACTCACTCTTAGCATTTCTACAGCTCTTTGGTAGCGGTCAATAAATAATCGAGTCAGGACCATACAATCCAGTGAATGACATCAAGAGCACCGCATCTGGCTTAAGGTGACATTAATCAGCGAGCCTGACCACCCGTTTCTGTTTGTCGCCTCTTACTATAAGCATGATATGCTGAAGCCAGGATCTTCACGAGTCAAATGGGGCGGTGCGGTAGCCCAGTGGTTAAAGCGTTCGCTTGTCACGCCCCAAACCCGGGTTCGATTCCCTACAGGGTGCAATGTGTGAAGCCCATTTCTTATGTCCCCGCCGTGATATTGCTGGAATATTGCTAAAAACGGCGTAAAACTAAACTCACTCACTCACGAGTCTAACAGTAAATGCATTTGCAATTAACCAGATTTCAGCCGTGGTGTTGTGACGAGACTGGAAGATGTGTTTGTTTCTTGTTAACATCCAGCAATATTTCAGCTGTATGGCGGCGGTCTGTCAATAATCGAGTCTGGACCAGATAATCCAGTGATTAAGAGCATGATCATCGATCAACGCAACTGGGAACCGATGACACGTGTCAACCAAGTCACCGAGCCTGACCACCCGATCCTGTTAGTCATCTCTTGTGACAAGCATGAGTTGTTGATGACCAATTCTAGTGGGGATCTTGACGGTTTTCTTGTGGAGAAGGAACAAACTTTTGAGCGGCCTACAAGAACGGACAAGGAATAATACTCCTTTTCGCGATTCCGGACAGTTTTACAGTAAACAGCCTGATTAAGTATGCGTGCGTGTATATTCATATATGTGTGCGCATGTGTGCGTAATTATCACGCAGCTTGCTGGAAAGGAAGACGAATGCCCCAGCAGACAGAATAGACAACTGGTTTAACCGGTCAACAGTATAAAAAAATCCCACTCACTCACGCACTCACAGTAACAAACCACGTAATCTGGGATGATCGTGGGCTGCATAAATGGACCTTAGGTTTTCAATCTCTTTTACTTCGCTATATTTGAATTGTTCATGTTTGTCATAAATAAACTGAGCTCCTTGCTCTTACAATTTTGAAGCTATTGACCGCACTGATGACGGAGAACCAGTCTAGCTATCCACGCGTGAGCTCCGGCACTACCGTACTCAAGGATGAATGCTAAATGGACGAATATAGAAAACTCCCAAAGCAGTCATATAAAACAAGCCAACTCCCATTACCAAGACAAGCCAGAGTTTTATTTAGAAGCTGTGTCTTGAAATACATCCTTGAATGTTACTTTACATTGTATGTCATCGACACTGGATGAGATATTTTGTTTCTTGACACACGCAAGCTAAATCACAAAACACGTACACTCTGTTTAAAGAACACACATGCAAACTCGCTGGAATGAAAAAGCGTCAGTTCAAAACAACTATAAACAATACCTTTTTATCATTATTATTTATTTTTTTCGGGGTTGGGGTGTGAAACCCCTCTCTGGTGTCCCCCGACGTGCTATTGCGGGAATAGTGCTGAAAGTGGCGTAAAAACACACCCATCTACCTTTTGACCCCTGGTTTAAAAACATATTGACTAATTTTACTGAAATAAATGTGTTCTGTTCTGGGTCCAACACTGTTCTCACTTTCAAAGAAACAAAATGTGTGTCTCGAAAGAGATATAACCTTTACTGTTACAACATTCTTGTCGTGATTTGTAGTGATTTGTAAATTCCTTGTTGTTTTGTAATAACGACTGATCCGGTTGAGCTAGGAATCAACACCTAATAAACATTGTAAACATGATATCCAATGCAAATTACCCCATATTTCGACTGTCGAGTCGTACCTTACGTAGCAGTATGGTAGATGGTCCAGAATTTTTCCAAGGTGTAACAATTGTTCCTGTACTAGACTTAGAGTTGCATCAGTGACAAACATGATATCCAATGCTATTCCCTATTTCGACTTGTACCTTCCGTTCCCGAATTTTTCCCAGGTTTGCGGTTGCCACCGGTTGGACAGGATACGCCCATCTGTTCGTGAACACCTGGTATCATCACTATTTGATAGGGATTCATTTCCTATGGATGTGGAAAGGGTTTTGTCGCTTTTGTTTACTGAAAATTCTGTAATATGTGGGAAAGAAGCACGTCTCATGTTTCAAAACCGCAGTTTCTGAATAATTACAACAGACGTGTGCTCAGATTGCTGACGGCACTTTCAGCTGACGCCGGGCGGCAAGTGACGAGATCCCATTATGAACCAGGCTCCGTCTATAATGAAGAGAGTAAGGTCAGCCCGTGGGCTAATCAGAAAATGGACACATGATGCTTGTCTTATTACTCAGTAATCTGAGGCCAATGAGGCTTACAGGACGCTACAAGACTGATGTCTCATAGAGGTGAAGGTGACGGAATTGATACATTGAGCGTTTGTTGAAGCATGAAACGATGTTATGTTTATCGGCTATCTTGTTTGGTAGATCAGTAAAAAGTACACTTGGGCCGTCTTCCGGTTCAAATATTCACATTTACCACTGGACCGATTGATTATGGAGGGTTGTGTCTTGTGACGTGGTAGCCAAGTGGTACGAGCGCTCGCCCGTCAACGACTGCCGTCTGGAAATACGCGAGTCTAGACCAGAAAGTCCAGTGACCGATACTAGCAGCTACCATGACCACCCGATCCTGTTAGTCGCTTCTTACGACAAGCATGGGTTACTGAAGACCAATTCTAACCTGATCCCTTCGGGGTATACAGAGAGCTAAAGGACTGGGCTTTCAGATTTGAATAACTATTTCATAAATGTCATGACCATGGCGCAGAAACGTTTCTACACCGCTTTCAGAGCAATTTCAGAAATGGCCTTCACACATTGTACCCCCGTGTGGAGTTGAACCCGGTCTTCGGCGTGACGAGCGAACACGTTAACCGCAAGGCTACCCCACCGCCCCTTCCCGTCGTGGAAGATGGATGAGTGTCTCCATTGAGAGACTACAGCACGGTTGAACGTAAGCAGCCACAGGGTGATCCTCGTCCCGTGACTGGGAACTGTGTGGGACAGATGCGGAGACTAGTATTGATCCAGAGTGGTTTTACTGCATTTATGCGACACACAAGAGTAGGGTACAGGGGTACTTGGTTATGCTTGTTCGACTCGGAATGTCGGAGTGGGGGTTGCATCGGCTGACGTGGGGAGTGATATGTGTGTGTGCGTGCCTGTGTGCGTGTGCGTGTGTTTGTTTTGGGGTGGGATGGGACGTGAGGTGAGGTGAAGTGAGGTGAGGTTAGGTGGGGTGGATCGGGGTGTGGTGGTGTGGTGTTGTGTGGTGTGGTGGTTTGTTGTGGAGAGGTGTGATGTGGTGTGGGTGTGGTGGTGTGGTTTGTTGTGGTGTGGTGTGGTGTGGTGGTGTGGTGTGGTGTGGTGTGGTGTGGTGTGGTGTGTGTGGTGGTGTTTTGTGGTGTGGTGGTTTGTTGTTGAGTGGGTGTGATGTGGTGTGGTGTGGTGGTTTGTTGTGGAGAGGTGTGATGTGGTGTGGTGTGGTGTGGTGTGGTGGTGTGGTGTGTGGTGTTGTGTGGTGTGGTGTGGTGTGGTGAGGGTGTGTGTGGTGTGGTGTGTGTGGTGAGGTGTTGTGTTGTGTGGTGTGGGTGTGTTGTGTGGTGTGGTGTGGTGTGGTGTGGTGTGGTGTGTTGTTGAGTGGTGGTGTGGTGTGGTGTGGTGGTTGGTTGTGGTGAGGTGTGTGTGTGTGTGTGTGGTGTGGTGGTGTGGTGTGGTGTGGTGTGGTGTGGTGTGGTGTGGTGTGGTGTGGTGTGTGGTGTGGTGTGGTGTGGTGTGGTGTTGTGGAGAGGTGTGATGTGGTGTGGTGTGGTGGTGTTGTTTTTGTGGAGGTGTGGAGGGGTGGACATTTGGATGGGATTTAACACAAGAGGAATAGCACAAACAAACCCGCGTATAACTATTGTTTCATCTCCTTTGAGAGGCATTTTAGAAGTTGTATAGATGAAGGAAAACCAAGTTCTATGGATAGTCAACTTCTTTATCGCAATGGGTGCGACGTTTCGGTGTAGGTACTAACACCGTTATCAAGCAAGTGATGAAAAGTACGAACACCGTTATCACATGCTGATAACAGTGTGA